TAAATGGACGTGCTATTGGATTTGTGCCGCCATTACTACAAATGGCATATCGATTACCCCCACCACCGCTGTTGCTGGAAGCGCGTGTGCTTCGCGATGAACGGCGACGTGATGGCTCTTCAGTTCCTCTTGCAGGACGTCGCTGTGAACGTTGATTACAAACAGTAGTTCCTGAAACTCCTGTATTTGAAGAAGATGGTACACTACCATTTCGTATATCCCTTTCGCGCTCTCTATCACGGTCATGTTCTCTATCCCGATGATTGCCATTTGATGTTGTGGTACTAGTCTGCTTTGAACTTTGTGAGTTCGAGTTTGCGTTGGGGCTCTGACTGATATTTGACCCAGTAATACCGCCAGTAGCCGCAGTATTGCCATTTCCTGAGTTAGGGCTCATTAATATGCTAGTAGACGTAGACGAAGAGGGATGGTCATTACTTTCGGGACTCCAACCGTTAATATGTAATTGAGTTGCATTCGATCCGTTTGTACTACCAGCATTACCGTTTGCCTAAATAAATTATATATAAAGTACTTTAGTAGTAAATCAAAAAGGGTATGATATTTATAATTACCTGATTATGATTAATCGGACGCTGTGGCGTACCTAATACCAGAGATCCGTCAGCAGATTCTGAGGAAAGCTGCTCATTAAATGAATGTCCCGCTTGTTGGCCATTTGAAATTGTTGCTAGCTTCCTACTGTGGCTATTGTTACCCGCTTCACCATTTGAAATGTTACCCGAAGTAAACATAACAGAAGCGGTAGCGGTTGTTGTCGTAGTTGTTACAACCGCTGGAGTATCTATCGTAGAAACTGTTGTCGAAGCATTATTATAATCACTTACACGCATCTGCGCAGCTGCTTGTGTAGTAGCAACAATAGAATTTTGATTTTGTTGATTATTGCCGCGTACCTGCTGATTTGGTTTTCTTATATTGGATACCGAAACTGTCAAACTATCATCATTTTCCACAAACTTTGGACTGCAATTCTCCTTGCCTATTTGGATGTTAACATTTGCGTTGACATTACTGATAATACTGCTACAACCCATGTTCGAACATGGTAGCACTTCCGTAGAATGACGCCTTTCGTCAGATGCTTCGACTCCATTTCTCTCAGAACTGCAACCATTTTCTCCGTTAAGAAGATTTGTGCAAGTGTTCGATCGAGTAGGTCCGGAGGGATGACGCACATTAGTACCTTCAATATTTTGGACCCTTGGCCGTTGACGACAGCGTATACTAGGTCTATCCCATTGCGTAGATTTTGTAGCATGATTTACATAATATACCCGGCCATTACCAGCGCGACGTTCTTCCCAGCCTTCTGGTAAATTATCTTCAGAAGAATCTCCTTCTGATGGGCCACGAACATCTCCACTGGGACCCACCACCGCCAAAGGGTTGCCTCCACATGGACCATCTTTTGACAATAAGGCAATTATAATCTGTCCACGTACCATATCATCATCCTCAGGAGAAAGTTTTCCCAAATTTAAACGCGTAACTAAAGAAGGATATATACACCATTTATTAAAAATTCGTATTCAAATAAATATTGACGTACATCCCATTCCTTTCAACTTCTGTATTGAATCTGCAGGTATGCGTACACAACCAAGGAATCCACTAGCTTTATGTATTTTCCGCTGATTCCAAACTGTAATAGTAACAGCATCGTTATTGCCAATAAAAAGGTCGTAGTGTGCATTCCATTTAGGATCTAAAGTTGACTTGCTAACATCCGTAGTATATATTTGTGCTGTACCATCAACCTGTACTTTAGCGAATGGGTCTGGAAGTCCTGAGAGAAAAGCAATTAAAAATCCAATTATGTAAATCGTATTTAAAATCGAAAAGCTTTAATCTGTACATATACCCGACCACACTTCAACGAAAAATTAGGTTTAAATGACGTTCTTAAGCATTTCCTTGTTCAATAATTTTTTTTAAATAAATACTGAAATTTATTATTGTCTATCGAGAAGATAAATTGAATTTAATATCGCAGCTTACATTATCCTTTGATTTTGAAATTAATGTTATCAATAACTCCAAATGAAATTTCAAAAGTTTACACTGTTTGTTGTGCCTACACCTGTACCAGTCGTGAAATTGTCGCAGCATGTTCATTGAATTTGTATGTATCTTCCTAGCGTGAAAAGCTATGAAGTAAATATGCCGATTATTATGCTGCTCTTATATATATATATATATCTTTTTTTTTTGTAATACTTCTGTCTGCAATAGTTCTTATTTATAGAGTAGAATAACTATATAATTGTGAGGAATGTGGTTGCGTTAACACAGTGTCCGTTCTGTTTACCTTAATCCGACTGTTGCTAATTACTTTATAGAGGAACAGAATGGAGATCAAGTGAAAATTTTATATGTTGATAATTTTACGTGATCTGATATTTTTTTAATCGATTTATTAAATATCCATTTAACCATTTGAATTCAGTTCATTAGTGTAGTAACATCACTTATCGTACATCTTAAGAAATTATTTATTATCAAACTAATAATGTAATATATCAATAGTAACAAGTTTATGCAAGATTAATTGGGCTTCAGAAAGCAAAACCAATATATAGTGACATTACAACTATTTACAAAATTTATCAAAATCTAGTTGAAAAATCTATCATACGATCTTATCGTATCCCCAATGTTTTTTTGTCATCATTCCGTTATCAAGCGGTGACAAAAACAATCATAGATAAACAAATAATTATCATAGTGGAAAAATAGGGCCCAATAGACCCAATATCGCAATGCAAACCACAAGTAAATTTTAGTAGAGTTATTTTGAAAATGTGAGAGATCTATCACCAAAATCATATTCCACATCAATATTCCATGCCTGCACGTTTTTGAATACAATATAAATTTTGGTTAACAAGTGATAGCAAATTTAGAAAGGACTATTGATATTGCAAACAAGTATTAATACTTACTAAATAAATCCTTACGAGCCAAGTTTCGTGCACACAATACTGAAATAAAAATTACACATATCAATTGTAATCCACATTCATTATAAATTAAAAACTTACTTGTTATCCGCACTTTGTGTGCTCCATTACGGCGGGGATAATCCAATTTATTCATATTCTGTATTGGTAAAAGCCTTATAGGGCACAATATTTACACGATCTATATAATATATTTATGTAGATATGAACAGAAGCTTCTATAATAAAAAAAAAACTTATAAAGTAAATCTTTATATTTTTGAAAATACTTTTCAATTTGAAAATCTAATTATTTTATTTTAATTCATTATATATTATATAAAAAAATTAAATTATAGGACACAATTTTATCTGTCCTATGTAATATAATTTATGTATGTATATGTTAACAGACGCTAGTATAATGTGAGATTTAGAAAATAAATCTGTGTTTATAAAACTTGAATATTATCAATTTCATTATATTAAAAATGTGTTTTCTTTTATTTTTTTTATCAAATTATATGCAACATTAGATATGTTAATACTCTATAAAACGCTTGTGTTACGCTGAAGAATTAAACTAATTTAAATTGTAAATAAATAGCATAAGACAATCTTCAAAACTGTAAAACTGCGACAGCAATAAACTATACATTAATATCACTTACTAGTTCACACCCATCGAAAGTAGTAAATAAAAGTATCTTTATACCTTAAATTTGTATTACGAGGCCTTATTAAAAATAACTTATCTGATTACACCAAAGAATACAAACTTCCTGAAGTAATATCGAGGAATGGTTCCGAATTGACAGTCCGGTTCTGTTCCGGTTACTTAGAACTGACCTTCGTGGGACAAATACTCTCTTTATAAATGTTTCGTTATAAATTACCACAATCATGAGTTCTGAAGTAAGAATTTAATACGTACATACCAATATTTAAAGGATCGTTACATTATGACTAAATTCTTTAGTATGTCTTGACGGGGTATCGTGTTTCAAATTACCATATGTTTCTTTAATCTTCTCATAGTTAATACCTGTTCCACAATCTTCACAATTTCGAATTTTTATCTGGTAAGACTATATATCTCTGATACGGAATTATCAATTACCAACCGATCATTAATACCGAATTTACCTTTATATCTATGCAAACATACCAATTACACATACAATGTTGAAATGAATTTATGTGCAAATGAATGAAAATTATTTGGTTTTATTTGGTGCGTAAAGCTAATAATAACATATGTATAAGGACTTTTTTTCAGAATTTGAACTACAGATTAACACCTTAGATATTAAGAGTTATTTTATTACATTTTACAATTAATACAATAACTTTTTACTGTGATTCCATCGCGTATGTGTGTGTGCATTTGCAAGTTCTATCCTTTTTCGATTCCATATATTTGTGCTTTTTAGATTTTTGGTTTTGTTTTTATAACTTTTATGTTTTGAAGACAATGACAGGGTTTTTATTGAAGCAACGCGACATAAATTTAAATCACTAATCAATCACTTTACTACAAATTTAATTACTACTTATTAGAGTAAGTGCAAAATCTCGCAAAGTGGAAAACGCCATCTTTGTTGAGCAATTCTTTATCGTTTTTCATTTATACTATGACTTTCGTGGTGAATTCATTTGTATTTATTGTGAATCATTTTGAAAGACGAAGATCTTAGTATAAAGAGACAAGAAATATGATAAATATGGTACAAATAATAAGTAAAGCAAATACCTTGTAATATATTTAATTATTTTACCTGTCTTAAATACGCCGTTTCTATGATCGCTTTATTTACTCTCCTTTTACATAGAGAAGTAACAACAACATTATGGGCTTGAGCTTGTACAAGAAAGTATACTGATACCTCATTAAAATTGTACAACAGAAATCTCTGGTAGCGCCTTTAGGTAATTAACCGGTGATTTAACCAATAGGTGCTTTTATATTATTATATTATATTATAACAATTAAATCGGAATTATTATGTATCAAGTTAAATATTAAATTTTTTGATATTAACAACTGGCTAACTACAAAACAAATTCTATGCTTTAAATAACATAAACATGATTATCGCTTCTTTTCGTAAGCTGTGTAATTAATAAATATTTATAGATATTTATCACTGCGTTCGTTATAAAGTATGAATAGTCACCCAAAGCGAGGAAAGTTGTATGTGAATGGGCAATTACTGGTAGCTTGTCTCTTTGCTAGTCTGTCATCTGTTCAAACCAATAAAGCGGCAGAGTTGCCAACCACAATTAAGAGATCAAGTACATCGTACAAGGTCCTCTACCGTGCCCTCAACAAACAAAAGATAATAGCTTCACATATTGTTATAGTATTATCCATATTTATACTACGATTCATTACCTCATGATGTCTATTTCTTTAAAAGTGCGTGGTGATACTAAAAGTAGGAATCTAGAAGTACATTATCTTCCAGCTAAAATAAATGGAGATGGGAGAACAGATATATCAAACTATTTCAGTTCGTATACGCGGGTAGCCCAAGGTAACTTATTAACAAATGCTATTCGTGGTTTCCCGCTAAATGGAGAAATTGTTGAAGTACCAACAACTCATAGCTCATATGTTTTACAAGAAACTGAGTTTTCAAATTCTGAAAAATCGCGAAATATATATGTGACTGGTAATTTCAGTAATTTTTATTATTGGAATTATGATAAAATACCAAGCAATGGAGATGCTTACAAACAGGCTTTATATTTGTTCAACATATCCAAAGAGGTAATTTTATACAAAAGAAAAATTCATCTTATAAATATTAAAATTTTGTTTATTATAGTTCTCTGAACCAGTAACCGAAAGTGATATCCAAATTGAAATTGAAAAACGGAGGAAAATATAAAAAAACACTATTTAATAAAAATTTAGTATAACTCTAAAACTTAGTTTTATTTATGAAAAATAGTGTCTACTCATCTGCATCAGCAAAACGCTCATCATTTAAATTTAAATTACGTATGCCACCTTGTGCGTCTTCAGCGTCATCTCTTGCACCATTTCCAACAAGTACGGGGACATTTTCAATATTATTCCCGTCATCATCATCATCCATAAAATCACTTTCTTCAGAAAGACTGTCAGCAGAATCTGGATGAAGGGCTTGGCACTCAGTCATTGCTTGAAATATGATATCAACAGTATTCACGTCATCTGGAAGAATCCAACATTCAGTCAAATTGTCATCAGTGAAATCGCCTTCATCATCTGTAACATTTCCTTCATCTACATCCACATTTCTTTCATGATCTAATTGTTGTTCCATGGCAATAATTTCTCCATTTATCTGGTGGGCAACTTCTGCGGCATCGACATTGCCATTCAGATTAATATTTTGAACAGACGCCCTCGTGTCTTTATCGTATACACCTCGCCATTCAAGATTATGATCTAACATAAAATATATACATTTGGAGGGTATTGAGGATATCCCATGTACGCTGATTTGTTTCCATAGTAAGGAAATACCTTCGCTCATATTTTCAGCTTGCCATCCTAATGAACTAATAAATACAAATATACATTCATATACTTATTGTTCAATATGAAAATTTGTCTCACTACTTACTTTTGGCTTATATATAATGTCCCTTTTCCAACAATTTTTTCTCCAATTTTTAACTTGGTATTATTAGCAGTGTAAATTAGACCATCTTCAGGTGGATTTATATGCGCAATTAAAGCCATGGCTTTAAATTAATTCTGCTTAAAATAACGCACCTATAAAAATTGCGACACCGGCATTTACAAGACTTTACTAGTTGTCTACACATACAATAGTAAATAATACGATAATCTTATTACACCCAATATTGTTTGTGGTAGGCAATAGTTATTAGAGAAATTATCAAATCAAAGTAGTAATACACGGCAAACTTCTATATTTTAGAAATATGAAATGTTTTCGACATACACATTAACACAAGTCCATAGACGACATTATTTGCTCTTATTTCTACGACTACTAAAGTTACTAACGACTCGACTTTTAAGAGTTTTGCCCAAATATTAAGAATGTCTTACGAAATTATGGCCGTTGATAATAATTTGACTTGACAATAAATTTTTAGATTATTTTCAATAATTATTTACCGTAAAAATGAAATCAGATTATGAACAATATATGTTTATTCTTAATATGGAATGTCATTGCGCAAAGAGTTTGTACGTTGTATAAAATGGTAACATAGCTAATAATTCAATGCTTTTAGTCACTACAGTACTTATCGATTATTTCGAACACTGAGAGCATAATTCTCCTCACTAGAAAATTGACTTGAGGATAGGATTCATACTTTTATTATCGTCATTTGTTTTTTTTTTCTTGTCACAGTTTATGAAAAATGGGTAAACGTCGAAAACAAACTTTAATAGAGTCGGACGATGATAGCAGCGATACTGCATCTAACCTGGAATCGGTAGAGTTTTAGTAGTACAAAAAAATAAAAATCATTAAAAAAATTCTTATACTTATTGTAAGACAGAATGAAAATAACATTTCTAAATATTTCATCGCATTTTATAGGAGCTATTATCTCTAGCAAAGAAGAAGTCCAGAACGAACACGACTCAAGTTAAAGCTGCAACATTGTCTGGATCTGATTCGGACTCAGATTGGGCGCAGGGGGCAAGTACTTCCACGGCTGCCAAAAAAACACGCATAAAAAAAGTTAACAAGGAATCAGATTCATCGGATTCAGAAGAAGAACATGACTGTCAAAATAAAAAAAATGATATTTTGGAGAAGGAACTTATTCCACGTGAAGAGGGAGAGGTTTCGGAGAGTGATGGTAAAGAAGAAAGCGATTCAGATACAAGTTCCGAAGAAAGATCGGATACTAGCTCAGATTCAGAATTTGATGATGGTTATGATGAAAACCTCATGGGAGACGAAGAGGATCGTAAGCGCCTAAATGGGCTTTCTGAAAAAGAACGTGAAACGGAGATTTTTAAACGTATCGAGCAGAGAGATTTATTGAAAACCCGATGGGAAATTGAGCGCAAACTTAAATTAGCGCGACGGGGAGAAAAAGCTATAAAACCTAATAAACAAAAAAATAAGAAGAGTAGCGTGTCCAAAAAATTTAAACAGAGATATAAAGATGAAAATACTGAAGTAAAAATAATTCCAATTGTAGAAAAAGAGAAAAATGAAGAGATAGTAATATCTACTATTACTCAAGATATGGAACTGCCATCACCAATAACCGAGGAGATCTTACTTGATCAAAAACTCTTAACAGATGACCAAAATACTGTAGAAAATTTAGATCATAAAGAACGATCCAAAGAACGTAAGAAGAACGTTGAAATGAATAGGACTGATGATAAGCGTAGCACCGCGATGGCAATGTTAAAAGCTAAACGCGAGGGAAAAGCAAAACGAGGTATATTTTTACATATGATCGGAATTATAATTCGATACAAATATATTTTCAATTACAATAACAATTCCAGAGGAAGAGGAGGCTAAGCGTCAAGCTGAACGCGATAAGGAGGAAGAAAAAGAAGAACTAGAAGGAGTATCCGGAGGAAAGTCTTCTGTTAAGCTAAAGGCTTCCGAAATATATTCTGACGATTCAGCTAGTAGTGATACAGAAGACGAAAAGCCTTCCGAAAAGCGTTCACGTTCAGCTAGTAGTAGTAAATCTTCCAGTGAATCAGAAGATGAAGAGGACGCTATAAGAGAGCCAGTATATATTAGCACTCGAGAGGAATTAAACAAGTTGCGACTGTCAAGATTCAAAATGGAACGGTTTATTAATCTTCCTATGTTTGAGCGAACAGTTATGAATTGTTTTGTACGTATAAGTATTGGTAATAACGGTCAAAAACCAGTTTATAGAGTGGCTGAAATAGTTGGTGTAGTGGAAACTGCTAAAATTTATAGCCTTGGAAAAACTAGGACTAATCGAGGCTTAAAACTTAAACACGGCACTCAGGAACGTGTATTTCGTTTAGAGTTTATTTCCAATCAAGAGTTTACCGAAACTGAATATGCTAAATGGCGTGACATATGTGCACAACAAAATGTTCCGATGCCAACAATCGATATGATTGAGCGAAAGCAAAAAGATATCAAAGAAGCTCTTAATTATGAGTTTAAGGACGAAGACGTCGAAAAAATTATTGAGGAAAAAAATCGGTTTAGAAATAGACCCACTAATTACGCAATGAGAAAAACTTGCCTAATGAAAGAAAGAGATGCTGCAATGTTACGTGGAGATTATGATGTAGCTCAAGATTTAGGTCAACAAATTGACGAGCTAGAAAGTCGAGCATCAGAACTCGATAAAAAGCGATCAAGTAGCATTAGCTTAATATCATATATAAATGATCGAAATCGAAAACGAAATGTTGAAGATGCTGAGAAAGCCATTTTGGAAGAAGCACGTGCTAATAAAGGTTTAAAGATTTCTGATCCATTCACGCGACGTATTACTCAACCACGCATGGGTTTCAAATCAGTTGAGAAAAAAAGCGAACCAACCATTCAACCGACACAGGCAATACTACCGGCTAAACGAAAAGTTGAGGAGARTACTACCGGCGGTTCAAAACCAACTGATCCTAAAACAGATTACAGCTTATATGCTCTGCATGATTTTGACATTGAATTGGACGTATCCCTTTTGAATGCTGTCCCAACAACACGATAATATTCAAATTAAATTGTATTCAAATAGAATCAGTTGTTCGAATAAAGACTTTGAGATAAAATAAACATCAAATGTAGACACCATTACGCTTGCATGTATGAAAATGATTGAGRTGAACTTATATATTATAAAGGTTATCCTTTATATTATAATTTGCGCTGGTGGTTTTTATATTTTTGAAGTAGGTGCTAGAAAACTTCTTTGGTCTAAATAGCTTTTGTGGCCTGTGAGATGTTCCTTAATCATATTACGAGCGCTGCCCCGCCCACTTTGAAAAAATTTAGTTTGATAAGGAAAATATATACAAATATTCATCAAAGTATCTTATTGTTTTGTGTATTTAACTTGTGCTTTACTTGCATAAGAAACGTACATACATACATATGTACGTATATTGTAAAGGTATACGAAAATTAACGATGAGTGTGTTTGGCCTTTGCAAGTAGTAAGATTGATCGACTGTGGTATAGTATTTCGTAAAGATATAGGTATGTACATACATAATCCTATTTACATTTTATTTTCGACTAGAGTGATATATTTTTGCCGTTATTTTTTTAAATTAGTTTCGAATAGTAAGAAACGTTTTAGTAATGTCTGGTTAGCAACCATCAGTCAATTAAGTTCTGGTCAACTTTACTGAAAGAATGAGTATTTATTAAGTTAACCAGAATTCGTTGGCTAAAGAGGACTTTTACGATTAATATAAATGATTACATAGTTATTTTTGTATGGTTCATGACCAAACGAAAAAATCATTTCATATATTCAATAAATGCATTGATAAATAATTGTACTAAAAACAGCACGGTGTTAACAATTTAAAAGACACCCTGTATTTTTTGTAAGGCAACTCTGTGCTTTAACAGTGCTACCAATTATAAAAATAAAACTATACTACAACACGTGTTTTGGCTTTCATGCTTTTGGTTTGATTTGGTTAGCGTTTTTCCACCGTTTGGAGGAGTTAGTATTGTTTTATATATTTTAAAAAACTTTTATATTTAAGTCATGGGGAAACCARGTGAGCAAAGTTAATAGAATTTTTTAAAATTTGACTATTGTCATTTATCAATTTTCGCAAAATAGGATTTTCACCACGCGGAGGAGGGGGTAGTGGTAGCGGTCGTGGACGTGGTGGCGGTTTTGGAGGTCGAGGTGGTGGTGGTGGCCGCGGTGGTGGCGATCGAGGACGAAGCAGCTTCGGTGGTCGAGGTGGAGGCGGTAGAGGAGGTGGTGGTAGCCGGGGTGGGTCTGGTGGACGAGGAGGAAGGGGTGGAGGAGGAGGTCGTGGTGGACGAGGCGGAAGTGGTGCGGGGGGTTTCAAAGGAGGTACAAAAAAATATTAATATTTGTCTAGAGTATTGGGTACTTATTTTGTATGCACTAGGTAAAACTGTTGTAATAGAACCCCATCGCCATGAGGGCGTTTTCATAGCACGTGGAAAAGAAGATGCTTTGGTAACACGTAACTTTGTTCCTGGTTCTGATGTTTATGGAGAAAAACGAATTTCTGTTGAGGTATGTTTTTTTTTCTATTATTTGTTATTGTATACTGTTTAAATGATGAGAGTGTGCAGGGGTACAGAACATGGTAATATGTGACCATGAAACTTTGTCAACAAAATTAGATTTGCGTGGTTTGAGACCTTTAGGCGAATTTAAAGTGACAAATTTTTAGATTAATGCACTACTGAACCAAATATATGAAAATCGCATTTAAATTTTGGTATTTTAAATGATGAGCAATTGTTTTTTTTTTTTTTTTTTAGACAAATGGCGAAAAGATAGAGTACCGTGTGTGGAATCCCTTCCGTTCTAAACTTGCAGCAGCTATCTTGGGAGGAGTTGATAAAATTCATATGCCTCCTGGCTCTAAAGTACTTTACTTAGGAGGGGCTTCGGGTACAACGGTTTCACATGTTTCGGATGTGGTTGGGCCTGAAGGTCTTGTATATGCCGTTGAATTTTCACATCGTTCCGGTCGTGATCTCATCAATGTAGCAAAGAAACGTACAAATATAATTCCGATAATTGAGGATGCTCGTCATCCTCATAAATACCGAATGCTTGTGGGAATGGTTGATACGATATTTGCAGATGTGGCACAACCAGATCAAGGACGTATTGTCGCATTAAATGCTCAACATTTCCTTAAAAATGGTGGACATTTCGTTATATCTATTAAAGCATCATGTATTGATTCTACTGCGCAACCAGAGGCAGTGTTCGCCGCTGAAGTTAAAAAAATGCAAGCAGACAAGTTAAAGCCTCAAGAGCAGATTACGTTAGAGCCTTATGAACGCGACCATGCAGTTGTTGTGGGAATTTACAGACCGCTACCTAAAAGTGTTGGCTCCTAAATACAATTTTTCTGGTTGCTTTAATTTTAAAGATTGTCAAATTTTTTATAAGATCTAGGTTTTAGGCGACACCAAATCCAGATTTAATTACATCAACAACGGCACTTATTTTATGTACGTTTTCAATTATTGCAGTTAATTTGAGTATATTACTTCCAACTGCACTGTAAATTATAGAAAATCGTATAAATTGTAAAATAAATCTTAGAAGACAGGTTGTTTTACAATTAATTGATATTTGATGACAGTGCATCGTTTGTAAAGAGTTTGTACTAAGGAATACAAAAATATATATACTGCGGTATGAGATAAATGACAGTTTAAGTTTATAAGTAAGTTAATTTAAGTGCAGTTTTTCAATGTATAATATGTATTTACAGCTTTTTTTTTTAGTTTGAATAGGAAGCGAATTACAGATAATAAAACCCTGATAATAATTAGAGATGATTCTGTTTCAATAATACATCACAAAAAAATACCAACTATTTAAAAATTAGATATGGACTGTGACTTATGAACATATGTACTATATTTCTTTATTAACCATACACTCAAAAACATGTCTACAGAATTTATATTTATGATGAAGATGCCAATGACATTGGTCATTTGCTCTATGTACACATTTTTATTATATATAATTGTTTTTCCCCTTGTTTCAAGGCTTTAATTGCAAACATTTTAATTATGATCTTAAAGCCTAATACTTTTTAAATTGAAAATAATTTGTATGAAGGTTGTACGATTCTTGTCTGGCTTTTTCGTCATTATGTTTTCGTAATACGGCTTATATAATAATAAGAAGAAAATGCCTCGGATATGTACTAAATGCAGGATTTCAACATATTAATACTCTGATTGATATGCAAGTATAATATATACTTACACTTAAAAGTTGTCAAACAAGTTTTTAGTTACTCCCGCGAACAATGAACGACGTTTGTCCTTATCAAAGTTTAATCTTGATTTTTATTTTTTAATTCCGCTAATTTCACTTGTTCAGTTTTGTAATTACAATTTTGCGCGTGTTTTTAAGCCGATACTGTCGATCGCACCAGAACTTTCAAGATGTTTTAATAGACACCCTAAGTATTCCTCTCGATGCCTAATAAAATGTGCTGCATGTTGCGAATGCTCCCAACACTTAAAAGTACATTTTATATTAGCACGCTCCCAATTTTCACGTACTGCGTGGTTCGAAGATGGCGGTCCAATATTATCATTTTCTGATACAAAAAACAATGCTGGTTGTTTAATTAAAGTAGAGTGAAATATTTGACTGGATCGCATATAATGGATAGTGGCTTGATTATGGAATGTTTTCATATGGTAACTATACAAAAAGAAATATTAAATTGAAATTGCAGCAATTAAGTGCATATATAATAGTTAACTTACAGGATGTAGTTACGTAAAGCACTTTGCATACGTGGATTTTTAGGAAAAAGCGACTTCGGCACTCCAACAGGGATTTCGGTTATATCAGCTGCGCTGTCCCAAATTTGACAGACAATTCTGTCTAATATTCCTGCATATCTAAATATATGTATAAAAAAAAACCTTTATGGGTAAATACGCTTAAAATTTAAATGATCAATACGTATGTTCATATACTAAATACTATATCCATCTACAATATGATTATTCTAACTTCAATTTAGACGATTGCATTTTGACTCTTATATTTTCTTGAATTTAGTAACTTAGATTCTTTAGTTCTTTTAAAAGCGTTATTTAGCCGCTTTTTGTCGAGAGCAAAAAAGTATCTCTCCATTTTTTGCACATAGCAAAAAGTCACAATGTACCTAAAATACAAAACTTTCCCTACCGTTCTTTATTACGCGACATTTGTAACATCACTTCTCCGAGTTGATAAGCGCCCACAGAAAAGCCATGAACAACAATTGGCGTATATGATCCATTATTTTCCAAAAATTTAAGGGTATCTGCAGCCACAACCTAGATTTCCACGAAACCCAGAATATTTCAAACAATTACAATTCGTTATATTATTGGGTACAAATATTGATTAACTAATCATATTTACTTGTGTTCCCTTAACGGGCCAAAGAAGTTGCCATGGCGTCACATGTACGATCATAACATCGAATCCCATTTCCGTATAAATTTGAGCATATTTCTTCAAATGTTTATGCTTAGCCATTAGCCACGCCATCATTAAAACAAGTGGATTCCCCGAAGACTGTTTGATTCTAAGCAAATAGAAAGAAAATTAACATGTACATATATTTTACATTGTAATAACTGAAATACAAAAATAAATAAAAAAATCCACTAACTCTAAAGTTTTTGGATCCACTTCACCCTTAAATGGTTCATTAGTGAACAATGTTATATTTTTCGTGACCTCTTTGGATGATAGATAACGATAATTCCAAGGCACCATTGTCTTCTAACCGTGAAAAAATACCAATTAAAGATTATATTAGTTAAACTATATTAACATACATAATACAATATAGAAGATGAAATTTATGGCAACAAACAAACATCATTAATTTTCGATTAATTTAATTCTTAACAAATATAAAACTACAGAAATGTGTGTGTATAAGTAAAATGTTTAAAGGTATTTTTTATGGTGGAGAGCTATAAATTTTATATTACAAACTAGCTCAACATATAATTACTATCTGCAATTTAAAGTTTATCTATGTCGGATCTATCCTGATCAGATATCTCCTGTAGATTTGTACACATAAACTGGGTTGTAATTGCAAATAAACAAATTAGCAAAGTAAACATGAAAGTTGTGAGTACTTTTGAAAATATTTTTCGAAATGAATATAGGGAATGGAAAAAGTAAGAGGATCATTCACAGCCTTAATGAGGTGAGTGGGTAAAAATAAACAGTATCAAATTTCATAAAAGTTTCTTTGGGAGTATATGCAAAGAGAAAAAAAACCAAATCGATAATTATAGGAAATATTAATGTATAGAATTATTGAGGAACGCGAAACAATTTGCAAAATATTATATTATGTTTTATTTTCTCTACCATTTACTTACTTAAATACTTTAATTTAATTAAAGATTATTAAATTTTTATCAGGCTTACATGATCAGTGATTATGGCAGACTTGTTACTCGAGTTTGTCTTCTGTAAACTTGAAAAGTATCTGTAATTCGGTTTCGAAATGTAATTCAATCGGCTTTTTAAAAGAGTGGAATGGCCAAAGTAAGGAACCAAAGACAACATTTCTTTATTATTTGTTACCGCTAAAAACAAAAATTTACGAACTAAAAATTATATAAATAAAGGCATTTATAATTTTGTTACCATATTCAAGTGCTGTTGATGCCGTTGTACTTTCTTCTGCTTGCATGGGAAAAGCAATGCTGGTATTTATTGATTTTTTTGGATTGCAGCAATTTGTTTTTTTTAAACTTGACGTTACAGTAAGTAAACGCAAAACACGGGTAGCGCTTGTAACGCACTGTATTGAAGAAGCCATTTCGAAACCTATGGCCAAAAATTACGACTGGTACTACATAAAATGTATAAGCAATTTACGCAGAATCTAAATTGTGTGTGTTTCTATTTACAAAATCTGTTCTGTGCATTTACATTTAATTTTGTTCAGGATCAGATAAAATTTTTAATTTCAGCAGTAAAGAAAAATACAATTTATGTATATGTAAAAATGTTTTTACTTAATGAGAACAGGCACATTTAAATTAGACAATATGTATGAACATATGTATAGTTTACACACATAAATCATATTTTTGCCCATACTTAAAAGCACTAATTGGACTTTGCTCTAATGCGCTTGAGAAAATAAAATTGGCAGTATGCAACAGCACACAAGTATATATTCGACAGTCCATAAAATATTTAAAAATATAATTAAATTTGAAGCTTTCAAACAATTTTCTATTTATTTTGACATTTTTTGTTTTAGTACGTTGATATTATTTTCATCAATTATATTTTGTAAACGAATGCTTTCAAATCTTCAAAAAGTTTAAAGAAACCTTTTATGAACCACAGGAATATTTACTTTTAATTTATTACAATGCACAGAAATGCATTTGTCAAAAACATACACACAGATATAAATTAGATATGAACAGATTTTAATTTATAGTAAAGAGCCAAATACAAATTAACTACTAACTCGGCAGGTCGCACGCACAGAATACTCTATTATATTAAAAAAAAAGCAAAATAAACTGTATAATAAATGAAGTTCCTTAATGTTAATTTAAGTGAATAAGTTAACAGTTTATGGTCAATGCACGGAAACCTGCCCAGATATGTGTATGTAGACTGAGTTCAGACACTACAACTTGTGCTTCGGCAAATCGAGTAATGTTAGATTTAAAAGTAATACTGTAATATAAACAAATTTTAAACTTAGATTTTGTGTATATTTTTGTAGTAATATATACGCTGGTATGCATATCAAACCTTAATCTTTTCCAAGGACTGGTAAACAACTGGATCTTCGAGAAATTCCAAGGCAAATTTGGCTTGTGCTTACTTTAATTAGTATCTGGCAATACTTTTGCTGTCAATATGACAAATAAATATATCTGTACATATAAGAAACTAAAAAGTTCGTGGTTTATTACGAAATTTGTATAAATCTTCGGTTAATAAGTGAATAGTAATTATGCTCCAGTCCTTCAGATCTGCTGTCCAATCAGCGTATGTTCATAACGTATTTAAATTATACACAGTTCATTTATACTCGAATAGAACAAATGATTTATTTATTATCCAGATTAATTATATTCCAGATCACAACTACTATACCAGGGTAGGTATCCAATTTCTAAAATGTATTATCGTCTGGTGTCAAATATCTCCAAACAACCGTCTAATGAGAGTTCAAACGAACCAATAAAGTTCTTTGGGAGCAAAGCTGCAACCTGGCGTGCACGTGATACGAGAAGTGGCGGTTCTGAGGACACGTTATGGTTTCAACCTTATGTCATTTCTGGAAGTTTGGCTGTATTTTTACTATATTTCTGCGTACTTCGGGAGGAAAATGATATAGACAAACGACTAGAAGGTAACCTGTTTGATCAAGTTGCGGGTCTGGAAGAAGTACAACTTACCGTAAATTACAAATATAACAGAGAGAATGGTTTGGACACTTCGGAAATTGAAAAACGCTTATTAGAACTAGGAGTCGACATAAAGCTTTTAGAATGATAGTTGAATACAACGATAATAGCGTACAGAAACTAAGACTAAATTAATAAATGATGTATGTTTTCAAAGTCCCTCATGGTATTTTATAGAGCAAATCCATTTTAATGTAGTTTTTCAAAATATCGATTAAGATAATGAAAAGAAATAATTTAATTGCCTATGCAAGATTAACATTATGCTAATTTGAAAATAAAACGATTGTTGTGTTGAAAATGCCAAATTCAAATTTTTATTTTCAATATAATTTTACATCAACATAACTTGAACGCAGCATCTGAGAAAATTTCAACAAGAAGTTTGAAACTAGTTGTTTAGTTTAATATTACACGCTGCTTTAACAGCAGTTTCCGCTTCATGGGCACATAAATGTCTTTTAAGTCGATAGTTTTCGTAAAACATCTGATTACATAATGGGCATTGTAATTTTGGTGCTTGATGTGTTCGTAGATGTACATTTAAACTGGTGCTACTCTTATAGGAAGAACCGCATAAATCACAGACGAAAGCACGAATATCGGAATGAGTTACCATATGTACATTATGATCCGATTTTGTAGAACTTTTTCGACTGCACAATTTGCACTTCCATACATGTTTCTTAGTATGTCGATTTTCATGGTGCTTCCAAGTAGAAGGGTGCAGAAAACTTCGTTTGCAATAACGGCATTGAAAAGGTTTATCTGCTCCATGAACTTGGTGATTGTGTATCAAAAGTTGATTTTGCGTTATAAAATTTCGTTGACAATCATTACAACTTGTTAATTTTAAATGTTTATGAGGAATAAATTCCATTAACTTGTTAAAATACAAAGGATGAGCAGACACATAACCATTTCGACTACAACGACCCCCCTTAGATTCATCCTGCTTAACTATATGCTGTGAACGAAGATATTCCCGCTTAAACCATCGAATCAAGGACAATATACTGGATCTCGCCAATTGTGGTGTTATACTTATATTGAAGTCTTTTTTAATTTTTTCGCATATTATTACAGTACTCTGATCCCTTTTTTCTTTGTTGTCGAAATCAGGGTGCTGAACATTCCACTGGCAAGGATGAAGCCGAATAATATCAATAAAACCCAATATAATAGAGGGATCAGTAGAACGTAATTGGAAAAAGCAGCGTGTAGTTAGCTTCGCAGTTTTAAACTAAAATTAGTAATATTTTATTTAAGTACAATAATCTGTATGGATACATACTGTTGGAAATTTATTCCCCGTGTTACCAAGAGCATCAATTGATTCCGCAGAGTTGTTTTTTTTTATCCCGCCCTCGGAAGATATATATTTATTTTAATGTTGTTCAAAGTTCACTTACAACTCTTACCATTAAGAATTCCGGTAGAATTTCGATCTCTAAATTGACTATTGATTCCTCTTCGGGGACAATTTTAGTTTCTTTTTCGGCATTTTGTAGTAACATCGTAAGGATCTTTGATCTTTTCATTGTATGAATTTGTTTCGTTTCCTTTTGACTTAGTTCCCGAGGATCTATATGATTTATATTTACCTGGTTAATTTTCTTTCCCATAGATTGTTATCTTGCTACTTTTTCGTAATATAACTGTTATGTCTTATGATTATTGATCGCACCGGTAGGGAAACAGCAATATGATCTATTGTTCAATGTACGAATAATTCCAAATTTCCTACCGTTTTTTTGAATATACATTACATATAACTATAGATTTTAATGTATAAAATATTACCACTGTAAAAATTTTTACGCTGCGAACATACATGACAGTAATTCGGTGTTAGTAAAGAACATTTTACAAACTTTGGAATACAGCTGATTCGTTTGCTACTTGTAGGCTTGTACCAGGGATAAATTGGCAGTTCATACACCGAATCTTTTGTCGCGAAACCGAACCCCACAAACAAAAAGTGCTGCCGGGAAAAAAGGAATTGAGATATAAATAAGAAGTTATTAGTTCGGATAATAAGTAGTAAGTGTTAAGTTGTTGTTAAAGATAAGTGTATTATCATAAAATTGGGATTTAATAATTCAGTGATCGAACTCAAGAGTGAGTTACAAAGAGACGATTTATCGAGAAATCCGTTACAGTATTAACTGCAATACAATCGTGATGTTAACATCTCTATCCAATACCATATGATTTATTTGAAGCCGGAATAATATAAATAATAATGCTGAATATCACAAGGCTTTTATTAAATAAAAATGGATTTTTGCCGGTTAATCGCTATAACCATTTGCTTAGTCGCAATTCCCGAAAGGTAAGTATTTTTAAATGTAACCTTAGAGAAAATGTATAATATGAATAAATAACATTTCAGAATATTAATTTTGAATCTAAATTGGGGAGAAGTTGGCAAACACGTTGCAACAGTACACAAGAAAAAAGTGATAAAATAGTAGGATCGTGGCTATTATGTTGCGGTGGTATGGTATATGTTGCGGTAGCTCTTGGTATGTCTAGCAAGGTATTGCCGCCAGTATCTTTTTTACGATGTGTATTTAATATTTTAATAGGTGGTGTAACACGGCTCACAGAGTCAGGTTTATCTATGGTGAACTGGAAATTGCTTGGTGAAAAAAAGCCAACAACTATAGAGGAATGGAAAGCAGAGTTCTCGAATTATCAGCAGTACCCAGAGTATAAATTGTATTTATTTATATATTAATATAAATATTTGAAAATAATAATAGTATGTTTCCTTTCTAGGAAAAATCGCTCAATGACTTTGGAAGAATTTAAATTTATATATATGATGGAATATATTCACAGAATGTGGGGCCGTGGAATTGGAGCAGTTTTTTTAATTCCAGCAGTTTATTTTTGGAAAAGGGGCTATTTAACAAATTCCACTAAAAAACGTGTTGTAATACTTGGCGCACTCATTGGTTTACAAGGACTTATGGGTTGGTACATGGTTAAATCTGGACTGGAAGATAAATTTCAAGAAGTTAATGATGTACCCAGAGTATCACAGTATAGATTAGCTTCACATCTAGCGGTTGCCTTTGTTCTATACAGTGTGTTTTTGTCATCAGGATTAAGGAAATTATTACCTTCAACCGAAAATCTTACGTCTTCAAAACATCTTTTGCATTTAAAAAAATTGGCGAATCTATCCAAAGGGTTTGTATTTCTCACAGCTGTATCAGGAGCGTTTGTAGCTGGACTTGATGCCGGTTTAGTTTATAATTCTTTTCCTAAAATGGGTGATAAGTGGATTCCTGATGACATTTTTTTATATCAACCGATGCAGAGAAACTTTACGGAAAACCCCACAACAGTGCAATTTAATCATAGAATTTTTGGAATTACAACTGTATTCACCGTTTCTCTCCTATGGATGTATTCAAGAAAATGTGTTTTGCCTAAACGCGTATCATATGCTATAAACGCCACTATGACAATGGCATGGTTACAAGCAACTTTAGGCGTTTCGACTCTATTAACTTACGTCCCCATATATCTTGCTACAGCTCACCAATCTGGTTCTCTGCTGTTACTTTCGTTTGCTCTTTGGTTAAGTCAAGAACTGCGTTACCTAAAGTATATTCCCAAATAAAGCGGGAAACAATATACATATGTATGATTATAATTAGTATATTTACTTGAATGTATTAAAATAAAAACTATTATAGACTTCATTATACCTATTAAAAATTAAAAAGTTAAATTTACATACTTACATATCTATGTATGTATATTTATATTTATATTACCTTAAATCATCATTTTATGAAGCGAGCACTACCTAAATTTTCGTTTATTCAAGATATGTATAAGGCATTAGACTAATGAAACTCTAAACAATTTGAGAATCCTTAAAGATATCATTGCTTGACCAGTTTGAAGATATTTGTGAATAATAAAATATTATAGGTTGGATCAAAAGAGGGTCTCTCATCCGATTCTGATGTGACCTTTTCATTGGCGCTCTATTTTACATGGTGGGTCCCACGAACAAGCGTACAACTCGTGCGGGAGGGATATTTCTGTTTTAGCTCCCCTTCAAACGGATGTTTTTTGACTATCCAGAGGATACTTGGTCTAAGGCCGGAAGTCGGCAGTTGCTTGAGCCATATGTAAAAGAATCWTCTTTGGCCCACTTCCAAGTGAATGGTTCCATCCGCCATAACCGCGTAAACGGTGTATATGCCAATAAAGAAGAAGAAGCCGGTTCGCACCACAGCCGGTTCTATGCACCGGAATTAACTCGGATTTTATCCGCCCAAGGGCTGCTTTTTCTAACATCTAACCCCGTTGGATCGGTAAGTGTTAAGAAGTATAGGTTGCTCTTTAATGTCGTTATATAGACATACTTTGGAAAACTGTATCATTCATTTAGTGAAAGCCTACAAATCCGAAAGCTTAGAAAGTACAAGTAGTAAACGATTGGGATATAGTCAATATAAAATCAACACTTCTAAAGAGTTTATAACACCCCTTCTTACTTGTTGTAATTGCTGCAATTAAATTTTAATTTCAATGGAAATTAAGCAAAAGTACAGTTTTTAGCTGATAATAGTTATTCGCATAATTATTCTGATAACTCCATTGGCAATATTTGCGATATGTCCAGATAAAAACTATGGCATGTGAGAGCGACCAGATATGACGAATAAATTAAATAGTAATTAACTGGCAACATTAGCAATAATAGTAGTTTGGCAGCAGTAGTGTGTCTTCAATTATTTATTAAACAATACTGTGTAATAACTTTGTTATTCGTGCCGCAATGGCGCAAAATGAATTTAACACATTTCGAAGTTATGTCAATATATTAAGTGATCCTGCAGCAAAAGAGGAAATTAAATTTAAAGCTGCACAAGAGCTTAGTGAACATTTTGAACTAATTGTACAAAGTCCGTCATATCCTGCATTTTTAGAACTAGCATTGAAAGTATTTATAAGGATATTGCAAGATGGAGACCCTCAATTTATTCAGGAAAATAGTTCTCAACATGTAAGTTTTATTTGCATCAATTCGTAATATACAAATGTTTTGTATTGTTAGGGYTATTTATTTATTTTATTTACATGTAAATCCAGGGTAGTGGATGTGAAAAAATTGTGACTTGTTACTTGCAGGATATGTGTTCATATACCGGTGTTAAAACTAGATTTATAGGAGTTTTTCATGGCGAGTGTGCAAGGGTGTTTAGTTCTTTTGGAAGACGTTAATAGCTTGCCCACAGGGCACATTGATTGTTTTGTAAAGTGAAGGATGTGATTCATATAGTTGGAGAATGTGCTCTTGATGTCTTTAAAATACGGTTCTGCTCTAAACTTCTGCTTTTTGTGATTATTTTGTAGAAAAACATGTTTCGCTACCCAAAAATGTAAAACGGGATGCATTAGGTAACAAACTTAAAAGCAGGGTGACAGCCTAGTAGGAAAGCCCTAACCACTATGGGGGGAGAGTAAGATTCGTCTTGGTACTACGAGATGAGCACCTTGATTTGCTCACTAGCAATGGGCTTACGGGGAACACCGAAAAAATTGTCATAATGGCGTGAGGTAAATTTGAGATCACTTTCTACGACATAGTTCATAGTTCAAAAATCAACCCGTTAAAAACAACCGTTGACTCTTTTACAAAGCGAAGATCCTGGCTTGAGGCCCTTAACACTCGGTAGCCCCAGCAAATTCCGCCTCTTTGTCGCGCTCTACATAGACACTGCAGGCTCAGGAAGCATTTGTTCAACGTGGGCACCGGTTCTGCGACATGGAGCAGGAAACTCCAGAACACCTGAGTCTGATATGGTTGCCCTGCGAAACTTTTTATATTAAAAATCTCCTGTTGTCCGATCACATCTAAACAGCTCGTTGGATTTACCTCCCGTTAAATGTTTTTATTACATTTATTTGCACTCCCCTCCAAACAGCGTTTAGACTCATCGCTACAAAAATTTGTGGTTATTTGCAATATATAAATACATTTTTTAAGCAACTGCATACATATGTGTATGAATTTTAAAATATTTTAAAAGAATTTTAAATTAAACATTTTTAATTAAATTGTTTTTACAAAACAAAAAATCACATTTTAATTGTAGATACGAAAACTGATATTGGAAATGATTCATCGATTACCTATAAGTGAAAATTTGCGACAACATGTAAAACCAATAATTTCAGTAATGCTCAAGATTTTAAGAAGCGATAACGAAGAAAACGTATTGGTTAGTCTGAGGATCATAATTGAACTGCATAAACATTTTCGGCCGTCATTTAATCCAGAAGTAAGCGTTGGTTAAACTAAAATATGACATTGTAGACCATCTTTATTTTGCAGGTTCAACATTTCCTTTTGTATGTAAAGGATATATATACCGAGTTACCAAATCATATGAATAAAATTTTTGAACAAAAGCAGCAGCCGATGCGAGTAAAAGATATTAAAGAATTAAATATCGATCACCTTTTATCAATAACATATGCTCCAAGGGTAATAAATGTGGAAAATTTGCAAGACTCTCCCCCACAAGTAGTAGGTTCCATAGAACATCACACTTATATACTAAATAAAAAATAAATTCTTAAAATATTTCAGTTTAATCTTTTACCAAAAGGGGTATTATCGTTAAGAGTATTGCAAGAGTTACCCATAATCGTTGTATTAATGTACCAGATATATAAAACTGCGGTTCATCAAGAAGTTTCTGAATTTATTCCATTGATTATGACTACAATAAACTTACAACCATCATTTCAACACAGGTATATGTGAATTTGTAGATTATAGAAATTAATTTTTAATATAATTGTTTAAATTCTTTTAGAAATTCTGCGGATCTTAATAAAGAAATATTCGTTGATTTTATGGGGGCACAAGTTAAGACTTTATCATTTTTAGCCTATATTGTTAGGATATTTCAGGTAAAATATATATATAATATTTTCAGCAAATATTTAATAAAAAAAAAATATATATATAGGACTTAATACTCACTCATTCAGCTTCAGTTACTAATGGAATGCTTAGTTTAATGGAACTATGCCCAAAAGAGGCTGCTCATTTGAGAAAAGAGTTGCTGATAGCTGCTCGTCATATTTTTGCAACAGATCTTCGACAAAGTAAAAACTATATTACTATTTTTTAAAGAGTTTTAATTTATAAAAATTCGGCTGTTTTAGAATTCGTCCCTATTATTGAGAAGTTGTTCAATGAAGATTTATTAATTGGAAAAGGAGTTACTTTGGAATCTATCAGACCTTTAGCATACTCAACACTTGCGGATTTAGCGCACCATGTGCGACAGAGTTTGTCTCTGGATGTGTTAGAAAAAGCAGTGAATTTATTTTCAAAAAATGTTCATGATGAATCTCTTGCAACCGGCATTCAAACCATGTCTTGTAAATTATTGTTGAACTTAGTGGACTGCATTAGACAGCACAGTGAAATGGATGCTGGCAAAGCAAGAAACATACTGGTTTCGTTATTAAAAGTATTTGCCTACAAATTCAAAACTATAGCGAAAATTCTATTGCCTCCAATCATAGATAAATGGTGAGTTTCTATTACACATTAGTTAAATAATAAACAATTTATTAAATTTTTGATTTTTTGAATAACGATTCTAAAGAGGCTAATTTTTGTTACCTCAGAGATTTAGTTTACATATATTCCGATATAAAAATATAACTATATATATGTATATGTACATATCTGAACAATTTTTACATACTTATTTATTTATACGTTTCTATTAAAATTAATTACGTATTAACGCCCTAATGAATATATTCATTTACAATAAATATTATGAACTCTTACTCTCAATGTTATATAGGAAGAGTCAGTCTTCCTTACAAACATCGAGTTTATCACCAGGATCTTCAAATTCAATTGGTAACAATACTTATGAGTACAAAGATGGCTTTACGGTGAGCAATGTTGCTATAAATTAATAAGTAACTTATATTTTTTTTAATGAACACATATTTTTTTAATAAATAAATTAAAGGAAAATACATCTAGTGATCAATCAATGAAAACGAATATTGGGAGCCACTGGATATGCCCTGCTAATATAGTCGAATATCGAGGTTTAGTAAAAACCTTAGTTGGTGGTGCTAAAACTATTACTTGGGGTTTCATAAGTTCTAAGGTAAAGACAATAAATATTTCTTAAACATTTATAATATATGTTATATTTGTTAAAGCCTGTTTGTGCCGACGTTGTAAAAAGTAATCAAGAAAAGTTATTTGATTCAAGTGAGCTAAAAATTTATATTGATTTGGTATATTGGGCGATGGAGGCTTTGGATATATATACAATAAGTATCGCTACTAATAACCAGCAAAGAACATCCAACCAAGGTCCAAGAACCAAAGAGGAAAAAGAAGTTCTGGAACATTTCAGTGGCATTGTAAACACATTCAATTAAAATTTACTCGACTTTTTTTTAAATATAAAATTACATTTTTAGTTTCTTATGATGCATCCTCAAAATTTTCAAGAAGTTTTCGCAACTACTATTGATTTTATGGTCGATCGGATTTCTAAAAACTCCTCGCTTCAAGTCGTTGCGAACTCGTTCTTGGCGAATCCTACTACATCACCTCTATTCGCAACAGTTCTTGTTGAGTATTTGTTAGGAAAAATGGATGAAATGGGTTCAAACATTGATCGTTCACCTTTATATTTGCGATTGTTTAAATTGGTATTTGGGAGCGTTAGTTTATTTCCAGTGGAAAATGAGCAGATGCTTCGTCCACATTTACATAACATTGTCAACAGGTCAATGGAATTGGCATTAACGGCGGAAAATCCATACAATTACTTCCTACTATTACGTGCATTATTTAGATCAATTGGAGGAGGAAGTCACGATTTATTATATCAAGAGTTTCTGCCATTGCTACCAAATTTACTAGAAGGATTAAATCGTTTGCAGAGTGGATTTCACAAACAGCATATGAAAGACCTTTTTGTTGAGTTATGTTTGACTGTACCTGTTAGATTGTCTTCTTTATTGCCATATTTACCAATGCTTATGGATCCTTTGGTTTCTGCACTCAATGGCTCATCAACATTAATAAGTCAGGTAATTTTAAAATGAATTGATTTCGAACTTTTTAGACTAAAACTTTGCTGGATAATAATAATTTAGAAGGACAGTAATATTTAAAAACAATTTTGATATTTGTGATATTAAAAGACACATTTTTTTTTTATAACAATTCTAATTTGCTATTTTTTTAATAAAATTGAAATTAAAATTATTTTATATTTTTCCATCGTTCTCTCTAGGGTTTGAGGACTTTAGAACTTTGCGTAGATAATCTACAACCAGACTTTTTGTACGACCACATTCAACCTGTGCGTGCATCTTTAATGCAGGCTCTTTGGCGAACTCTCAGAAATCAAGACAATGCTGCCCTTGTTGCTTTTCGTGTACTTGGAAAGCTTGGAGGAGGAAATAGAAAAATGATGACAGAGCCGCAGACATTGCAGTTTAGAGAAAACGATGCGGTCCCCGTTGCAGTTATTACCTATTTTCAAGATCATGACAAACCTATTGATTTCCCAGTGGAAAAAGCTATTGAAACTGCACTTACGGCACTTAGTTTTAAGACGACAGATGATTTTTACAGAAGACAAAGTTGGGAAACTATTCGCTGCTTTTTAGCTGCTTCTATTAATCTTGATGATGACAAACATACTTTGCAGAAATTATTTTTGCACAATAGTTTCACAGAAGGGAACATCATGATTTCACCAATCATTCAAAGTAAATTAGAAGAAGATAATTCACGTAAAACACATCAGGTAGCATTGACTGGAATGCTAGTGGCCTCCGCAATAAAAGAGCTACGAGAATCAGTTTTTCCGGTTATGGTTGCCGTTGTCCGGCACTATACTATGGTAGCAATAGCTCAAGAGGCAGGTCCGTTTCCATATAAGCATTACCATAGCTCTCAAGGTGTTGACCCACTTGTGCTAATCGATGCCCTTGCTGTATGTATGGGTCATGAGGAAAAAGAATTGTGCAAGCCCGGTCATCTATGTATGGAACTTATATTGGAGACAGCCAGCACAATAATGGGAACAAAAGAAAGGGCATGCCGACTACCACTTATTCAATATCTTGTTGAAAAAATGACTGCGCTTTGCTATGAGCGACCGTGGTACGCTAAAGTAGGCGGATGCAAAGCTATCCAATTTTTATATCAGCATATGTCATTGAAGTCTCTTTATCAGCACCTATTCACATTTTTAAAAGCTTTTCTTTTTGTTTTAATGGATTTGGAATGCGAAGTATCCAGCGGTGCTATAGACGTAGCTAAGAGTAACTTGAGAAACATGCTCCAATTATGCATGGTGCCTCTAGAAAATGAAAACAATAATGAAGATATAATTACTTTTCAAAATAAGGCAATGTATGAAATTGTTCATGAGCTCGTTAGACAAGTAACAAGCTCCAACGCCTTGGTTCGAGAAGAAGCAATGTCATCACTTAATTTCATTGCTAAATTACAAAAGAAAACAGTTTATGAGATCATGGATCCACATAAAGAGGTTTTAGCTGATATAATACCCCCCAAAAAGCACTTGTTAAGACATCAACCGGCGAATGCACAGATTGGTTTAATGGAAGGGAATACGTTTTGCACCACTCTTGATCCAAGGCTTTTCACGATAAGTACGATTTTTATATATATTGCAATCATGTTTATGGTATTCATAAAGTTATGATGTTTTAGATCTTACTAACAATTACCACAGATTGTTTTTTCATGAGTTGTTAACTCTTAGTGAAGCTGAAGATGCGACTCTTAATAAGTTGGATTGTTACAAAAATGTGCCGAATCTTATACCACTACGAAAAAGTGCTTTAAAAGCATTGGCTGCTTGTCATTACATTACTGATAGTCAGTGCAAAGAAAAAATTATCAACATCCTCTTTAAAGTAATGGAGAGCAACAAAGAGGAATTACAGGAAGCAGCATTTAATTGCACCAAAATTTTTATATCTGGAATTCACATCGATAAGGAAAAGGTAATTAACACGTAGCAACCTAATTAAATTTTTTTGAAATATAATATAATTTTTGAAATAACGTATATAAAAACTACTTATACTTACATGAAATTTGTTTTTAAATGATTACAGTGCTTTATACCATCTGATACATATGTACTAATATGTATCATAAATTATGATAACTTTTAAAGATTGTCTGTTTTCTCATATTCAGAGAAACGTACTTTTTGAATTTGTTTTGACTTAATTATTGATTTATAGTATGGAAACGAAATGAATATTCACCAATCGCACTCAGACAATGCAATATTTTCACAACCTAAAGTTCTCACTATCTCCACCTAAATTAATTTTAATTTGAAAAAAAAAAAAATCGAACTTAACAATTTGCTTTCGAACTGCGCAGCCACCGCTTTGATGAGACCATTAACCTTATAAGCAATTGGAACACTTTAAAAAGCTGCTCAGTTCTGACTACCTTAACAATGTTTTTAGTATTTTAAAAAGTAGAAGAACTACACTTCATATAACTTTTACTAACCGAGAGTTTAATTTTAACTTTATTTTTATTAATATAATATTTTGTCTTAACTAAAATTATTTTAAGTAGATTATTGTGATATTAATTTTTCAATTTGAATTATCTATATAGTTACATTTGTTTTACAGGTTCACGCTGGCATGCGACCATTACTTTTAACTTTGGGCGATCATCGAAATCTTTCACTAACCGCAACTAAACGGCTTTCGTATTTCACACAATTATTTCCTCAAATGTTTAATGAAAAACTAAGTGAACAAATACTGCAGCATTGCCAAAAAATTTTAGAAATGTCAATTACAAATCACAAATCAAGTACTAATCAAGGCGGAAATTTTTTTACGATTGCTAAACGTGATGAATATGAGCAAAAAGTAATTACTTTAATTGAAATGTTTCATCAAATAACAGCAGCTTCTCCGAAATACATTGACAGTCTCTGTCAGCTTGTATTGAAAACCGAAAAAAGTCTAATGATCGAATCGTCAAGTCCGTACCGCGAACCTCTAATAAAATTTTTACTTCGGTTCCCTTCTGAAACCGTTGATTTATTCCTTTCAGATAGCATAATAGTAAATGTTCAGTGGAACAGGTTCTTTTTATATTTATTAAACCACAAATGTGGTCAACCATTTCGTTCTGTTATAAAAACACATAAATGCAGTATTTTGGTTAAATTTATTAATGGAATATTGAATTCGAATGCACAATTCGATCAGTCACAAAAATATGAAGCATTGCATCAAGCTGTTCTGTTAGTACATACAATCATGGAAAAAGATGAACAGTGGATTCCTACACAAACGGAACTTGTGTTAGCATTAAAAAAGTTATGGGAAATAAACTTATATAGCACTTGTCAAGATAATGTCACATGTGATTTGTGGCATTTAGTTGGAATGATATTATTAAAATATTTTTCACATAACACCAATGATATTGATTTACTGTTCCAACTGCTACGTGCCCTTTGTTTACATTTCATTCCGGATTTTCATTTTCTAAGAGAATTTCTACAAAATACTGTGGCTCAAAGTTACACAGTGGACTGGAAGAGAAAAGCATTTTTCCACTTTGTGGAAAAATTTAACGGAACGTCGCTTTCTGAAGATCTTAAAGCAAAAATTATAACAGCTCTGCTTATACCTTGCTTCGTGGTAAGCTTTGATAAAAGGGAAGGAAATAAATTGATAGGGGCACCTCCAACATCATATACTGACGATGATAATAATGTGGTATCTGTTTTTATAAGTAAGGTTTTTGACCCTGACAAGCCGTATGCAAATGAGGATGCTGTCAGAATCGCTTTACTACAATTCGCTTGTTTACTTGTGGAAAGAGCTTCCCAGCATATACATGACGGTGATGCTAATAATAAACGCCAGGGTAACAAACTTCGCCGTCTAATGACATTTGCTTGGCCTTGTTTACTTAGTAAAAGTTCCGTGGACCCAACTGCCCGATATCATGGGCATCTTCTTTTGGCTCACATAATTGCTCGATTGGCTATACACAAAAAGATTGTTTTACAGGTATTTCTTTCATTACTAAAGGGTCATGCCCTTGAGGCCAGACCTGTCGTTCGCCAGGCTCTTGATGTTTTAACTCCAGCAATGCCTTTACGAATGGAAGACGGAAATACTATGTTGACCCATTGGACAAAGAAAATAATCGTTGAAGAAGGACATTTAATGCAGCAGCTATTTCATATTCTTCAGTTGATTGTTCGACACTATAAGGTAAAAAAAATAAATCTTATTTACTTTGGATAGCATTTTAACCAAATATATGAAACTCCTCTTCTGCAGGTATATTATCCCGTTCGCCATCACTTGGTGCAACATCTTATTAACTATATGCAACGTCTTGGATTTCCTCCCACTGCGTCGTTGGAGCATAGAAAGCTAGCTGTAGACATTGCTGATGTTATTATTAAATGGGAGGGACAACGCATTAAAGATGACGAAAAGGACACAAAATCAGAGGATATAACTGGCGATGATGGGGTGTCGGTATCCGATAATATGAATAAACGGGCATCTGATGAAGCTAATTTGCAGCGCAAGAAAAGTATTGCCACGGATGGTTCGCGAAATCATATCAGTCAAAGTAATAGAATGACTGCTGTAGAATTGGTAATTGATGATAATTTATGTTTTATTCATATTAGGTGCAGCTGGCATTTCTCAAAGTCAAAAGATAGATGACGGTTTTCGTTCGTTAGAAAAAACTCATTGTGACACAGTGCTTAATTTCCTTATTCGTCTTGCGTGTCAAGTAAATGATAACCAACCTGCAGTTATTTCTCCTAGCGAGGGATTATCTCGGAAGTATGTGAACCTGAGTTTCCACTTAATTGTATATTGATTTATGAACTTTTTTTTTTTTAGATGCATAACTCTTTTGAAATCGGCAATGCAAAATAAATGGCCCCAACCATTCGAACTTAAACTTAATTGGTTGGATAAGGTTTTTATGACTATTGAAACACCAACGCCAAATTTGAGTAATATTTGTACTGGGTTAGATTTTGTAACATTTTTAACAACAATTTTACCCGCTGATCAATTACTGCAAACAATAAGACCAATCCAAAGAGGACTTTCAAACTGTATTATTCATCAAAATACACGGATAGTTCGTCTTATGAATGCATTTCTCACAAGGCTTATGTCAATTTTCCCTCCAGATATAAATCATAAACACGAGGATCTTGATACATTATATAGTGCTATAAGCAAAATGATTTCAGATAATTTGACCTTATACGAGAAAAGCCCCCAACCCAATCCACCCTCTTTATTTGGAACCCTAATGGTATTAAAAGCTTGTTCATCTAATAATCCAAGTTATATAGACAAGCTGATGTTGCAATTTATAAGAGTTTTGAACCGATTGACAAAAGACCATCTGAATACGCAAGGTAATGGACAACCTATGACAACCAATGCGGATAACGTGGAATTACTAGTCCTGTCATTGGATTTAATAAAAAATCGAATAATAATTATGGGTGTTGAAGTGCGAAAATTATTTATTGGAAATATTCTGGTTAATCTCATAGAGAAAAGTTTGGACGTCAATGTATTAGAATCTATAATACAAATGCTCGATGAATGGATCAAAGCGAAAGAACAAAATCCCACAATGCAAATACCTTCGATAAGAGAAAAATCGATATTACTAGTAAAACTTATGCAATATTTAGAGAAGAAGTTTTCAGATGTGAAAAAATTGAATATCCAGTTCCTAGAAATTGTCAACTATATATATCGAGATGAATATTATAAACAAACTGAATTGACAGCTAAACTGGAAGGGGCCTTTTTAACTGGTCTAAGATGCCAGGATCCACAAATAAGATCAAAATTTTTTGAGATCTTAGATGCATCAATGAGAAGAAGACTTCACGATCGACTTCTTTACATCATATGTTCCCAAGCTTGGGATTCTATTGGCACACATTATTGGATAAAACAGTGCATTGAACTATTGGTGTTGACTACCAATACTATGACGGAAATTCAAAACTCATGTGAAGCACATAAGGTTCCTAGTATTAAATCAGTTATAAATCTTGCTGAAGGTCAGGACAAAAGTAGCTTCGTTATATATACTTCATCCCAGGTTGAATCGTTTGATAATACTCAAGTTGAAGATAAAGAAGATGTTTTTGATAACGATCTTGAATCGAATTGGAGTGTAAATCGCAGTAATGATAGTGATAAGGAAAATCCAAAGCGAAAACTGCAGGCTCTTATTAATAAACAAATTGAATTTTTGGAAGCTAATCGAAAAATTAATACGGAACAATTAATAATAGCTATTGCTCAACTATGCCATATGGATATACAGTTAGCTGAAAGCGTGTGGTTAATAATTTTTCCAAGGTTGTGGACAATTTTCGACGAGGAGCAACAGCATTTAATTGCCAGGGAACTTGTCCCATTTCTTTCCTCTGGTAGTAATGTAGTCCAAAAAGATTGCTTTCCAAGTGCACTTAATACGTTTGTAGAAAGCTTGATGCAATGTGATCCTCCCATATATATTCCACCGTATTTAATGTCCTATTTAGGAAGAGCTCACAATTTATGGCACAGAATGACTTTAGTACTAGAGGAACTCCATCATGGCACTAGAAAAATTTCCGCGGAAAATTCCGAATCAGATCTGAACGATACATTATCAACCGTGAAAAAAAACGTAATATATGATTCTCTCTCCCAAATGTACGCTACTATGCATGAAGAAGACCTTTGGGCTGGCTTATGGTTGAAGTATGCGCATTATCCAGAGACTAATATTGCAATAGCATACGAGCAAATGGGATTTTTTGAAGAAGCTCAAGGAGCGTATGATTTGGCAATGTCGAAATTTAAACATGACCAAGCCAATGGATTAATTAACACAGATGTTAATACTGAATTGATTCTTTGGGAAAACCATTGGATACGGTGTGCAAAAGAATTAAATCAGTGGGATATTTTATTAGATTATGCTCAAACAAATAAAGAAAAGAATATGTTTCTAATTCTTGAAAGTGCATGGAGAGTACCAGACTGGAATTTAATGAAGAACGCAATTTCTAAAACGGAGCAATCTTTTGCAAAGCAATTTGGATATAAAATTCATTTGTACAAAGGCTTTTTGGCGATATTACATCAGGAAGATCGTCAACTTCTAAATGTGGAGAGACATATTGAAAACGCATCTGCGTCGTGCATGAAGGAATGGCGAAAGTTGCCATCTATAGTTTCCCATATACATTTACAGTATTTACAGGCTGCTCAACAGATAATGGAATTACACGAAGCCAGCACTATACATCAAGGCTTAGTTCAGTCCCGAAACACTTCCATTCACGATATGAAGGCTATTGTAAAGACATGGCGAAATCGCTTGCCAGTAGTAGCAGACGATTTATCACATTGGAGCGATATATTCACATGGCGACAGCATCACTACCAGATAATCACTCAGCACCTTGAGCAGCAGTCAGATCAGGGAAACACCATGCTTGGAGTACATGCTTCAGCACAAGCAATAATTTACTTCGGAAAGATCGCCAGAAAACATAACTTAACTGGAGTTTGTCAAGAGACGTTATCTCGAATATATACCATACCTTCAGTACCAATTGTAGACTGTTTCCAGGTAAGCACTCAGTATACACATTATAGATTTATTAATTAACTATAATATACAGACTTTTGTATGCCAAATAGTTCGCAATAATTATTCTGGATATCTGTTATATGGCTGCTCTGATTTAAATAAATGGATATCGACTACTTTTGTTATTAATTTTTTTTTTAGAAAATACGTCAACAAGTCAAGTGTTATTTGCAAATGGCCGCTTCTTCGGGAAAAACTGAATTAAATGAAGCCCTCGAAGTAATTGAGTCAACAAATCTAAAATATTTCACAGGTGAAATGAATGCGGAATTCTATGCCCTAAAAGGGTTACTTTTAGCTCAGATCGGTCGTTCGGAAGAAGCAGGCAAAGCTTTTAGCGCAGCGGTCCAACTTCATGACGGTCTAACAAAAGCTTGGGCCATGTGGGGAGATTATATGGAACAAATGTTTCTTAAAGATAAGCAAATGGTGCTAGCCGTTAACGCGATCACTTGTTATTTACATGCTTGTCGACACCAAAATGAAAGCAAAACGAGAAAATATTTGGCAAAAGTTTTGTGGTTTTTGTCCTACGATAACTCAAGTGGTACCCTTATGAGTACTTTAGAAAAGTATGTGGTAGGCGTACCACCTTCATATTGGCTGCCATGGATTCCACAACTGCTTTGTTGTTTAGTACAGTACGAAAGTAACGTCATTTTGAACTTATTGAGTCATGTAAGATTGAATTCCTGTAATTTAAATAGTAAACATTTTCAATTGCTGACTACAAAGCTAATTTTATTTACAGGTAGGACGTTTATATCCCCAAGCCGTGTACTTTCCCATTCGTACATTGTACCTAACGTTGAAAATTGAACAAAGAGAAAAACACAAAACTGCTGAACAAGCCGGGTGTATGGGGAAACTCCAAACTACGGTAAGAAATTTAAAAAATATAATTTATAAAAAAAATAAAAATAAAAAATACTGTTAAGAAAAATAATTCTTAATATAATTTGTAATAATAAGTAATAATAGCCTAAATGTAGTTATGTTATTGTGAGAAACGCGTGTTATGCTCGATCTACAAAAAATATAGCATAAAGCAGCTCTGCATTTTTTCACAATAATACAATTCTTTTAAGTTCATTATCAATGCCTGATTATATTAACAATTATTATTTACTTCTTATTTCGATGTGCTTTAAAAGCGAAGTTTTAAGGTTTTTAACTACCTTTAGTTTGTTTGTTGTTTGAGAAAGAAATTGTTAAGGAATGTTATGACAAGTGTAGTGATTATAAAGGAGAATACAATTGTATTGTTGGTGAGAGTCTATCTAAGACTAATTTAAACTGACGATTGGCTAAGTCCTGGTATTAACGATTTTTCAATCTTTTCAGGTTATCGACAGTCAAAATACTGGACAATCGGTGAATTCACAATCTAATTCTGGATCCACAGTTAACCCAATTAAAGCAACACCTTCAATGTGGCGTTGCTCAAAAGTTATGCATGTTCAACGTGAAATTCACCCCACAATTCTCAGCTCATTAGAAGGCATAGTAGATCAAATGGTTTGGTTCAGAGAAAGCTGGACAGAAGAAGTACTGAGACAATTACGACAGGGTCTTATTAAATGTTATGCAATTGCATTTGAAAATAGAAGCGCTGTTAACGAGGCTACAATTACCCCACACACCCTACATTTCGTTAAAAAGTTAGGATCTACATTTGGCATTGGCATCGAAAATATACCGGGGTCAGTAGCAACATCTGCCTCCAATTCAGCGGCTTCTGAATCCATAGCGCGTAGGGCTCAAGTGACATTTCAGGATCCCGTCTTTCAAAAAATGAAAGAACAATTTACAAACGATTTCGATTTCTCCAAACCGGGAGCTATGAAATTACATAACCTTATTTCAAAATTAAAAACATGGATAAAAGCTCTAGAGGCTAAGGTTAAAAAGTTGCCAACTTCATTTCTCATTGAAGATAAATGTCGATTTTTGTCGAACTTTAGTCAAAAGACTGCGGAAGTGGAATTGCCGGGTGAATTATTACTACCGTCCTCTTCCCATTATCATATTCGCATCGCAAGATTTATGCCACGGGTGGAAATTGTTCAAAAGAACAACACGGCAGCAAGAAGGCTATATATTCGTGGCACTAATGGAAAAATTTATCCATATTTGGTTGTCATAGACACTGGACTCGGTGATGCCCGAAGAGAAGAACGTGTGTTGCAATTAATGCGAATGCTTAACTATTATTTAGAAAAACAAAAAGAAACTGCAAGACGTTTTCTTAACATGACTATTCCCAGAGTAGTTCCTATTTCGCCGCAGATGCGTTTGGCTGAAGACAATCCAACAAGCATTTCTTTAAAAGAAATTTATAAGAAGTGTTGTCTAAAGCTTAAAATAGATCACGACCTACCGATTGTGAAGTATTATGATCGCCTCTCTGAAGTTCAGTCGCGAGGTACTCAAACCACACATACCGTTTTGTGCGATATATTTTGTGAAGTACAAACCACAATGATTCAAAGTACTTTATTTAAGAATTGGGCTCTTAATAGATTCCTTTCTTCCACGGATTTCTGGCAGTTCAGAAAAATGGTGAATTTAATTTTTATATAAAAACATATTTGAGATTTTATTTTTCCATTTTTACAGTTAACACTGCAGTTAGCACTTGCGTTCTTATGTGAGCACGCTCTTCATTTGACTAGATTGAATGCTGATATGATGTATATACATCAGGACTCTGGTTTAATGAATATTTCATATTATAAATTCGATATTAACGATGAGAAGGAAGAGCTCGATTCCAATAGACCTGTACCCTTTCGACTTACACCTAATATTGCTGAGTTTGTAACAAATATTGGAATAACAGGTCCCTTGTCTGCGGGTATGGTGGCAACCGCACGCTGCTTTGTGCAGCCAAATTATAAACTTTGCTCCATACTGAAAGCGATCCTCAGAGACGAAATAATTGCTATACAGAAGAAACGTATTCGTGATAATAAACTTGTAGAACCATTACCAGATTCAGCCATTGATATGAATGCTATGGATAACACCATAGGTTTGGTCAATAAAGCTGTCGCAGTGATAATGTCACGTCTAAATGCAATTTCATACTTTGATAATACAGAATCTAAAAAAGTAACAAATTTGATACAATCTGCAATAAATCCAGATAATTTATGTCGGAT